GGGGGCGGAGCGGGGCGAACGCTCCCCGCGTTGCCGGGAAGGAGGGCTCCGCTGCCCGCCGTGCCGACGCCGCTCCTCGAGTTTCCCCCCCGTAAGTGCCAGGGGAGCTCCGCGCAGTCGCTTACGGCCGTTTGTCGTCGGTAAAAATCGGCTCTGCGGCGGCAGGCGTTGCAGTGCGTCCCCCCGCCTGCAGTCTCTCTGAACTTTCTTTGGAAAAATCTCTCGGCTCTTGTTTCACCAGCCGTTCCTGACGTTGCCCATTCTTCTTAGTGACTTTCTTATCCCCCTCGCCGTGCCGGGGCTAGGCAGGACAACCGGCTGTTGGCTCCTCGGTGGACTCCTGCGAGGGCCCCGCATCGGGCGTGCCGTGGCAGTGGATGGCGGTGGCTGTTGGCGTGTAGCCCGCGAGGTGTTGTGGAGCCCCGGCGGTGCGCAGAGGTACGGTGTTGGTGTTGTGGGGGGCACCTGTCCTCTGGTCGGTGTTTGCCTCCCTGCTATGCTCCTGCACGCGAGGTTGGCTGGGAAGGACGCCTTTATGAGAGCGATGGGTGCTCTCTGACAGAATGCAGAGTTGTAAACAGAAGCCATGTCTTGTGGAAAGTTTAAACACAGAGCGGAGCTTTGCACCTTTTCTGAGGTATGCTGCTTGGTTTGGTGTACGCCGTGTCTGCCCTGGTAGCACGTTGGCTTATTCCGCTGCGGCTCTTCAGCTTGTGGACATCTGCAACGCTGTGGTTGCTATACTGGAGGTATCTGAAATAATTTTTTGGGGGAATGTTCTTTGTGCACAACAGATTTATCTGTTCCAGGAAGCAGATGTGGTCTTGCATGAAACTGGTTTTCAGGTGGTTACGTTCTTACCTGCCTTGTATACTGCTGATTGAAACTGCAAGATATGAAAGAGTATAATTGAATCCCTTCACTGTAGGATTGCCTGATTTTTCTTAAGGTTTTAATATGAAACCAGTCTTAATTTTTTATATGCGTTTTCAATAAAAATCTGAAAAGCATAGTTGTATCTCTTACTTGTAAGCCTGCTGTTAAATGTCCTTGAAGATCTGTGTATATATCTGCTCGTCTTGATTCCTTCTGCCAGGGAGTTTGTGGATGGTCTAGTTGTAATTCTTTGTAATTTCATTTTGATAATGGTACTCATAACAGCAAACTGCATGTTTGGGTTGTCTGAGGAGCAGACAGGTGTTTGTTCTTGGAGTAGTTCTTTTCTGGGTAACGTTCCAGAGAAGGAAATCTTCGCTATGGGGTTGTATACGAAGTGTTGAAAGAGGAAGAGGCTTTCCATCCCTTCTTTAAAATACCGAATGTATATGTTGCCTTGTAAAATGTTCAGCTCTCTCTGTTTTATTTTTTTATTGAGTTGTAATCCCAGGAAGACATTTTGTACTTTCAAGGATGAAAAACCTGGGCATTTGGTCAGGATATGGATTATGAAACAGCAGATTACGAGTGAAAGTACCGTACATCAGCAGGGAGGTCTTACAGTGTGCTCTGTGCAGGTGCTGGCTGGAGGTGGCTGTGAGCGGTGCCTGTTTTCATCATTTGGCCTGGCTCCTGGGGGGGGTCTGTAGGGAGGCTTAGAGATGTGATGTGTGTTGCTCTGTTGGAATTAGAAAATGCACAGTTGGAGGAAGGACTGCTGGTGTTACTGATGGAGCAAGGGTTTGTGAAAATTTGGATTTGTCAAGTATTTGATTTCTAATCTTTGCTTTTGAAAGAGCGATTGGCTCATCTGTTGGAAATGGGGAAACTTGAAAGATTCTTCGAATGTTTTGTGGTTCTTACTATGTTTTGTCGAAGGCATATTCACGTCCCAAACTGTGTGGGAACTGCAATGCAGTTATTGAAATACAGGGAGAAGGTATTAGAAAATGCACTCTTACTCTTGTGTGTTGTATGTCACAGTTCCTTGTGGTGGTTGCAGGTTTGAACTTTCTGTATATACAGTTCTTTGTGGACTGTTACTGCTGTTGTGTTGCCTGCATTGATTTTTGCCTCCATTTATTCTTTATTGCAGTCTAAAAGTTGGTTTTAATTGGTTGCCCACAGGATTGGCTTGGCTTCTGCTACTTGTTAAGAAAAAAACATCTGTCTTTGCAGGTAAGAGACTTCGAATTGAAGACTTCTTCTTTTTTTATGCATATTGAGTATATCTTAATAAATAATTAAAGCTTCTGGAATCCCTGACTCAATATCAAACCGTTTGGGTCAAATTATCCATAGGAGTTCTTTTTCTTTTGACTCCCACTGGTGGTGGTCCTTCTGGCAGCGGTGTGCTCACAGAATAGAGTTTTCTGCCATACTCAAGTTTTGTTATTTCATCAGCATGTGGCAGTCTGTAATGCTCTTCCAGTCATTTTGCTCTGTTTGAAAACGTAGCTAGTTCTCTGCAGTCTGCAGGTCTGCTTGTCTTCAGCTATCAGAGCATGGAAATGTACAGTAACTGGCTCTGATGAAGTTTTGCAGCATTTAAAAGTATCAGACAGTCATTTCTGAGCTAATTCAAACCTTCCCTAATCTAACAAGTTAACTTTAACATAAAAAAGTAAATTAAAAATAACAAGGAAAACCCTGTAGCCTGCAGTTGTAGGAATTGCTGGACAGTCTCAGCATAGGTACTTTAAAATCTTCCTACAGCTAGAATGTCATTTTAGTTCTTCATCCAACAACTGCTAGATACATTGTGCGTGTGCCATATAGGTATTGTACATTAATGCTCCCCGGGGACCGAATTGAATCTTCTACACCTGCCTTGATTTGAGAAGAATTACGCATCTAGAACTGCTGCTCTTGTGGTATCGCGTCAGTTCCTGCTTGTGACCCAGCCCTCCTGCTTACTGACCTCCTCCTGGTCTTACTGACCAGCACACAGACGGAAGTAACATTGCCACTTCTCTAGTCTAACATCAGTGTTTTAAGAGCATGTTGAGAATGCTGTCTGTCAAGATTCATCAAAAGACTTGGGTTAATTGTAGGCAGGCTTTTACTTTCCCCTTCCGACTTTGCGCTGTTACTGGGAATGGCTTGTTTCTAGTGTTACTTTGGGATAAAGTCTCTCTGCAAGACAATCTCAGGTAACAGTGGAAGAGCACTTGTGCATGAAGTAGCTGAGGAGCAGCAGCTCTGGCAGCTGGGCACAGAGCCTGGCAGCAGGCAGAACCCCTTCTGGATATGCTGCCTCTGCACCTACATTGCTCTTTAGGAAGCAAACGTGGCAGTACGTGAGCAGGCTGTGCTGTTATGGTTAGTGTGAAAGTTGGCACAAGTTGCTTATTGTCTCTTCAGTGCACCTGGAAATAAATCTGACTTATGAATGTGGAATTTGGCCGTCTTGTTACTGCCTTATGATTTTTTTCTTTAAATCACAGAAGCAAAATTAATGCTTTTTTTAAAACACTGAAATCCTGATAAATTTTGCAGCAGTTATGTTTTGAGTTAATAAAATACTTTTTGCCAAAAATATTTGACTTAGTCCTTAAAGTTTTTGTTTATGTCATGCCACCATTAGCTTTTGCTTAATATTGAGCACTTGTTTTGTATCACATGTGGAATCAGTTAGGCTGAGGTCATTACGACTCGTTTTTTTGGCAAGTCAACTTCCTAAGCAGCTATTTGTGTTCTTGTGGCAGTAACTATGCAGTGAGCCTAGATAGCATGCTTAGTAACAAAACTTTGATACTTTTTATCACCTTTAATGAAGCTTTGAATATAATGTGAGCTTGAGACTTTGTGTTATCCCAGAAGCTTTATCAGTGTTTGAATGCTTGAAGTCTTCAAGAGTTCTTGTAGCCTTATCTGTTGATGTGCCTTCTGGGCTGGATTCCCAGAACCATCAGGAAGCGTGGCTGCCTGCGAGCTGTCAGCTCTGCCCATGTGCCTTCTGCAGCAGCACATCTGGGAAGAAAGGTTGCCAATGTTGAACTCACAGCCATGTCAGGTTGTTGTAAGGAAGTGACCATGAGAAAGTAATCTTGCACTAAACAGCAGAAACTTGAAATGTCTGAGTTGTGATGCATAAAAAACTTCAGAAATTTATTTCTTTGTGTAATGCAGAACATAAAAGTTTTACTGTTATTATTATCCTAGTTTTACAAGTGTAGGTGCAAGGGATACTTTTATACCCCTTGGTTGCCAGTGGATCAACTAATTAGAAAGCAATCCTGTAGCTTTGAGGTAATGAGGTAAACAAACGTTTTGCAATTGCAGTTAGTGTGGCTTCCTTAAAGTAAGCAGAATTTTCATTTTAACTTCAGCTTCAGAGCTGGCTGTTGATAGTGGGCAAATTGAAATCTGCAGAATTGTTGAAAAATACTGCAGTTCTAACAGTGCAAAAAGCCTGGTGTGCTTTCTTGGATGCGTACTTAGCATAGGTAGTTCCTGCTTTGTTCTGTTTATTTTTCACGTGGACCACTTTCTTGTTGCTGTTGGAAAATGATTGGGCAGTGAACGTTATTATTGAGTGAAATGTAAGTGTGCCTAGAAGAGATGGATGCCACGTGTTCTGTCAGTTACCTTGCAGCGAGTAGGGAAAGTTGGTTTTCAGAAATGAATCCTTGAGGCTGAGTGCATATTTTTCTGTTGCTGCACCCCCTGATGAAGTGGG